AATATGATAACATATTACTGTTTTGGAAACGCTATATTAAAAGTTAGTTTTTACACAATGTGTGGTTTTGTTTTGTCGCACCTAATCTGGCACTTTGTGAAAATCACCCGGGGAGGTTCAGCAGTGGACGTCCTATGGCCGAAATGATGACGATGATGATAAAATGAATCTGACACACTTTAAACTTAGCTTTCGTTTATCGGGTAAAGACAGTCTAAGACAGACAGACATTGTGGGATTTAAAATTATAGCTTGCAAGTATTATTCAGTGGACAAATCCTTTATTGCAGGAAATATGCATTTCAGATATGCAGATTGAGGGGCGCCCTCCAAGGAAAGATCTGGGCTAAGGGGGGGGATAACGATCTTGTCTTGGTATTTCGTGTTTTTGGTCTTTTTCCACCAGATTGTGGTCCCCAAAAGATTTTTCGGCTGCTTCTTAGGAGTTATTCAGCATTTTAATGTGGGAGTGTTGATGGAAAAAGATATGAATCTCGCCGTTTTAAAGACTTGCTTTTGTATGGAATACTGTGAAAGACTTTTGCCTTGTACAGTAAAGACTGCACACCATGATTATGTCTAGTTTCTTATTTTTATGAATAGTTGCTTATGAATTACAAAGATTAGCCTGCGTCTATTGATTAAAGAGTTATGCCCGTTTTCACCATCAATTCCTAATTTTAAGTGACCCCTATGAAAACAAAATTCCTGTTACCATAGAGGTCCCATAAAATTAGGAATTGATGGTAAAAACGGGCATTAGTCTCTCGATTCGTACATAATACTAGCTGGCCCGGCGAATTTGATACCGTCTATGTTCATCCGAAATAATTTTGAAAGAAGATTATAATGGTGAAAGAATTTATCAAATTCGTCCAGTACTTTCGGAGCCTTTTATTTAATACAAACAAACAATCAAATCTTTCCTCTTAATAATATTTGTGCCGTACGGAAACCGAACTCGTGACCTCTGGCATAGTGAGTGATCTAGTCCCCAAACCACTGAATCATCCATCCACATATAATTGATATTACATTTAATATTCTTTCAGAGCACGATTCAATAGTCTACACAAATAAAGGAATTTTGACTTTGACTTTGACTAAAAGAGTGCAAACGGAAGCGCAACAGTTGAGGAGGTCCCGCACTCGGCCCTCTTTGCCGGCTAGTTTCATTTCCGCGCCTTTGAACTGGATATAAGTGTTTAAGCTCGCTAAATTCTTTTAAAGACCTTTGTCCTCACATATAAAGTTTAGTTACATTTTGAATTATTGAAGAAACTAACGGGTTTTTATTTCTTCTTCCTTTAAAAGTCGTAAATTTTAGAAGCACTGAGAAATCTGTCGCATGCGATCTTGTTCGTACAAGTTTGATAGTATTTAATTTATCATAAGTGCCACTTGTGGTCTAAACTGAATAAATATTTTTGATTATGATTTTTGATTTTGATTTTGATTTTTTGAATGTTTAATGATCAATGTTCATGGCACCACAGTAATCTTTTTTCTTTTCTTTACATCTTCTAACTAATAATTGAATATTTGTTATCGAACTAAACTGAACTTGTACTGTGGATACTTAAAAATTTTAAGCGACGATAGCCAACGATGTTGACTCGTGCATGCTCTGAGGAACGCGGGTTCGATCCCCACCGCCGCTATAATTGTGGTGAACCCACTCGTAACACAAGCATTTTAGCTTACCATGAGGGTTAACGGTATTATAAGTAATTTGTATTTAAAAATTGTAATATCTGTTGTAGTATCTTAAAAAAACATACCTAGAATGCTTAAATAGCATTAAGTCCACCTTTTGTACGATTTTATTGTGCGATAAAGATTTTATAATATTTTTTTTTAATTTGGTACCAAATAAAATTTTTTTCTTTCTTTCTTTCTTACCTACCTACTATAGTCATATTTTATTCCTCTAACATTCCTGTACCTGTATTGTATTATATTGTATCTGTATTGTAGTTAACTCCAAGTCACACCATTCATGGAAAATTATCGCACCTGCTGTAAAGACTCTGAGAACAGCAGGGCTACCACGTCACGCGTATTACGTAGTTTCAGATCTATCACTGTCGCTCATGCTGATTGCTGGTATCTCGCTTTACGTGAGAAGGATAGCAACATTCGAAGCTTCGCAACGTTTTTGGGAGTAGCCCCCCAAAGCTGAAAGTCTCAAGTCCTTAACGTTTCCGTGTGGAGGCAGACACTCTGTTCAAGAGCGTCTCAGTCGCCTCGAGACACCCTCAGGCTGCCACCTGTCGGCAACCGGTGGAAACTGCTGTGCATTAGTGAGACTGGTATGTCGATAATTCCATATAAAGGGGTAGTAGGAATTTTTCCTGGGCAAAAAAAGCAAAAGTTTGAATTAGTCCGTCAGTGAACTGATCAAAAAATACTCGACACGTATTTTTCAGTTTTTCAAACTAATGCTAATTGAAAGAGATGCGCGCCAAAGTTCATAAGAAGAGGCCCGTGTCGTCAAGGCGTGTTTAAAAATGTAGCACTTTGTGACGTCACGCGGAACTTCAACGCATCGTAACTTCGTAATTACTTGTTTGATTGGCAATAAAAAAGACTATGCTGCATTAGTTTAGTACCTACTTAAGAAAATAAAACTTTATCGTCATATTAGAGCCTAAAACTGCTAACCACATGATCATTTTTGAACCAAAAGCATATTATATCAGCTGATTGCTTTCCTAATCAATATTACACTTTGTCGGTTAAACCTTACGCCCGTATTCACAAACGATGCTTGCTTAAGTGAAGCAGCAAATCGAATGCACAGCGGTGAATAGAGCTCTTTGATTGGTTCGTGTGTCACCCTGTGCGTCCACGGCCCACGCGCACTATGAGACCTCATAGTAATGTTTGTGAATACGGGCGTTATTGTTATTTAAAAAAAACAATCCAAACTCAAAACTCGTTAAAACTCCACTTGTAACTCGGAATTTGAACGCAGGTATGCACCTACACCGTGACAAACGACTTATGCGTCCAGCTAACTGCCGCACGCTCATCCATCATTGGGCAAAACGAAACAGTCTGTAGATACAACTTTGTCTGGTCGATTAATCACCCTGTATGTAAGGCTGGACATTCACGGCAAGACACGGCCCGGCACAGCATGAACTTCATACCGCCCAGTCAATTAATATGTGACCTGAGGTGTCAAATTGCGGTTTACAGATTACCCTCCTTTGTAAGTTTTCGGTTAGAAAGTAGCTTATATTACATTAAAATCTGTCAAGCAGTTCTTGAATTATAAATGGTGTAACTAACCCGACATTATAATGATGATGTTGACTGGGAATAGTCAATCATAAAATCTCTAGTAGTTAAATGTTTTGTCTTGTTCTTGTCAATGTCAAGTGTTGAAAACAATAACTTTTCTATTTTTTATGAATTCGGGGTAAAGTCTTTTCGTGTTAACTGTTATTGTGACAGCTGGTATTTTAAGTACTCAGTTAACGAAGATTTATTTTGAAAATAGCGACTGAAAAATTTTTGCCTTAAGCTTTAAAGACACTTTTGTCTTTCCGTCCATAGCGCGCCTTATCCTCGGTACAAAATTCGATTAGGGTCGTGTTTTCGGTGAATGTTTTTCAAAGCTTATGACGAGGAAAGATAGTTTTGTTACATTCGCTGAGACTGTGGACAAACCGCTCTGATCAAGTTTATTGCGGGCCAGAACAAGAGCTAAGCAACTAAAATAGAGAAAGCCAGTTTTCTTGTGACCACGGCTCCAGCATAGCAACCGAAACGTCAAGCGAGTACATAATGTAACTCATATAAAAAATGTCACGTTGAAACCCGTGTTTCACTATTTAGTTGAAATGGCACGCGAAAGTTTAAAATCTTATAAGAGCTAAGCAAGTTACTAAAGCTTAGCTCGCATAGCTAAAGGTGAATAAATGTAGATTCCATAGCATTTCTATGTCATGTTACGTTCTCACGAATGGCAATAGTACAGGCAAATGAACGAGGTTTGGTTCTTGAAAGGGTGAAAACTAGAACATTGTATAGAGCGGCTCGTTGTTCTGTTACAAGTAGGTAAATGCTCTACTAGTCTTCAATCACCTTAACGCAATATTTGTCATGTCAAATATAAGTAGTAGGTAAGGACAATCTGGTCAGGTGGGGATTCTTGGATGGCTTAAACATGGAGTGCAGGTGCAGTTTTGTTCCCCAGTCGATGAAGCACCTGATTTCGTGCCCTGAGTGCCCGAGCAACTGCATTCAGGGGGATTTGATGAGTGCTACAACAAGATAGACAACGCCACTCTTGTGGCGGAGTTTTGGGCTGACACTGTTTAGGTTTGTTGTCGACCGACACGAAAAGAAGGAAGAAGAACGCAATATTCCATAAAGTGTGTATATGTATACACCACTAAATTTTAAATTTATTATTATTTATTTATTATTATTTATTTTTCGCATCTTTCTCCACCTTNATGTACCTACCTACTAAGTTTTCAGTCCCTTCTTTTGATGTAATAGCAATGTTCATTTTCGTGCAACTCACGTTACTCATTTTAGGTAGGAGGCGAATCATTTAAAATACTTCATAATTATTGAGGAAAAGACAATAGGTACATTTAAAAAGGAAAATATAAAATTTTTATGCAAACGTTTTACCAAAAACGTACAAATTATGTATCTGCGTTTCAAAATACACTTCACCCTTTGGTCGTTCGGTCATCATCATCATCATCATTTCACCCATAGGACGTCCACTGGTGAACATAGGCCTCCCCCAATGATTTCCACGTTGATCGATTGGTAGCGGCCTGCGTCCAGCGCTTCCCTGTTACCTTTACGATGTCGTCGGTCCACCTTGTAGGTGGATGTCCTACGCTGCGTTTTCAGGTACGCGGCCTCCATTCCAGAACCTTGCTGCCCCATTCTGCGTACTATGTACCCTGCCCATTGCTACTTCAGCTTGCTAATCTTTTGGTCATAGCATATTTTATTTCATTTTCCAGGTCGCCAGAGGCGTCTACATCTACTTCCTGGCAAAGATATCCGAACTGCTAGATACAGTTTTCTTCGTCATCAGGAAAAAAGAGCGGCAGATCACGTTCCTCCATTTGTACCACCACACAGTCATGCCGATGATCTCGTGGGGGGCCACGAAGTACTACCCCGGGGGTCACGGGACCCTCATAGGGGTCATCAACTCGTTCGTCCACATCATCATGTACACGTACTACATGTTGGCAGCCATGGGACCCCAGTATCAGAAGTTTTTGTTTTGGAAACGGCATATTACAACTTTGCAAATGGTAAGTGTTATCGAATGTTTTTAGATAGGTATTGAGTTCTTTTAATATGCATCCTACGTGGAAAAAAAAATTAAGTACGTAAAGCACGACGATTACAGATAATCGGGTCTGGTCTGGTCAAAATGAGCATGCATATCAAGCTGGGTTGCACCATTTTACTTTAGCTTTGACAAACGTCAAAAATCTGTCAAACTCCATACAAAAACCACCGGTTATCGTTAAAGTTACGGTGAAAGTTAGGTGGTGCAACTCAGCCTACGAAATAAGCTAAAAAAAACAGCGACTCGCTCGACTATACAAAATGTTTCTTATAATAGACATTCGAGGATTTTTTTTTCTATGTTAGTGGTTTCTATTGATTATACGCACTTTGGATAATAATGACTAATGTATGTACTTGTTTGCTTTAGCATGGATCGCCATCTGCACCATTTGATTAGGTACTTAAAGGAAAATTGATCCATAACTTCGAATTAAATAAATGCTTTATTATTATTATTTATTTTTCGCATCTTTCCTCCACCTTTTTAAGATGGGTTATTACATCTGTTATGCGGGCCTCAGCCAAGCATAACAGCGTTAAATGACGATATGTCCGAGGATAAAAACTTACGGGTGAGACGGCAAGTGTTTAAAATTACGGCCTTTTGTAGTAGGTGTGTTATTTGGTCATTAATGTCTAGTAATTTGAGGCTTTTTGCCAATGATTTCGGTACTACGAGTACTCCTGTGGATGATATTACGATAGGTACAATATAAACAGCGCTTGCATTCCATTGCTTTTTCAGTTCTATGGCTAGGTCATGGTATTTTGTAACTTTTTCTGAAATGGTTGTCTGTAGATTATGCGTGTTAGGGATGGCAATATCAATTAGATATACGGTTTTTTCTAATGTATTGTGTATGGTAATGTCAGGTCTATTATAATGAATGGTTTTGTCTGTTATTATTGTTCGGTCCCAGTAAATTTTCAAATCACTGTTCTCGAGTATGGTTGATGGTGTATATTTGTAGTAAGGGGATTTTTTTATTATCAGTTTATGTTTATGTGCTATATATTGGTGTATGATTGCTGCTACTTGATCATGTCGGTGCTTGTAGTCTGATTGGGCTAAAGATTTGCAGGCGCCGGTAATATGTTGTATGGTTTCCGGTGCGCTATTGCATTTTCGACATAGATCCGCCTGCAATTCTTTAGTGATGTGCTTGCGATAGTTACGCGTCGCTATCACCTGGTCCTGTATGGCGAGCATAAAAGCCTCTGTTTCGGGAAATAGCTCGCCGCGCCTCAGCCATGCGTTCGATGCATCCTTATCGACGTGTGGTTGACTGAGGTCAGCTTTATGCCTTCCATGAAGCGACTTTTGAGCCCATTGCGAAACTTTGTCTTGATCAGGTGAGCATTTTCATTGAACGTTCTTGTCGTGTAAGTTTAATGGTGTCAATTTGTTGTCTATTAAAGTAATGTTGCGATAAAGAGGAAGTGTGTTTGCTTTGTTGTGGAAAAACTTTCTTAGTGTAGTAATCTGTCTATTATGTAAATTTTTGACGTCAATGAGTCCTCTGCCTCCCTCGTTTCTTGGTAGGACGGTCCTTTGAATGCATGACTTTGGGTGGTGTTTCCTGAATTTAGTCATCTGTGTATTTATGTTACGTTGAAGTGTATCTAGTTCTGTTTGTGTCCAAGAAATAATACCAAAGGAGTATGTGAGTACCGGGATTGCGAATGTATTAATTGCTTTGATGATATTTCTAGAGCTGAGGTGGGTGGGAGTTTTGTTTTGAGTCTCTGTTTGAATTTATTTTTGAGTTGCTGTTTAGTTTGTTTCTGCAAAAGTTGTCGTACTTATAGCTTGCTTCCTCATTCATCGCTTCTATTTCCTCGCCTGTTTCAACAAAGTATGGGTTGTGTTGGACCTTACCTCGTTCGACGGAGTGGACTTTGCATTTATCTATTCCAAATTGCATTCTTATGTCTTTGGAGAATGTTTCTGTGATATTTGCTAAAATGAATAATTCTTTATTATTATTATTATTCCTTTATTCATCTTACTTTCTTATTTTTAATTTTTTCTTTTTACAATGTAATTATTATCAAAAAAATATATTATTATTATTAATTCCTCCTGTGTTTTTCTGATCAATTTCGCCGTCGGTCTAATGGCTGCACTGGTAGGTACTACCTAGGTTTTTATAACTGAAATCGGTCAAACACGACAAAACTTACAATGACCGCGACAAACCGTGAACAAGTCGTTAGCCAAAAAACGTAACTATTTACTTCTTTAGGTATTTAGTGATAACATACACGTAGATAAAAGTCCATTGTTCTTGCATTTTTTCAAAAGTTCATTCACTTTTTTTTCAAAAATGTATGCAGTCTTTCGCTTTGACGTGATATTTGGGATCGAAATAAAAAATACTACGATTTTTTTTTCAATTGCCATTTTTTTAAGACTTCTCTCTTTATGTAGGTTTTTTACTTTAAATGAGTCAGGGATTTCTAGTTATTTTCTAGAATAACTCGCGTGAATACGTGACAAATAAAACAACAATGACATGGAAAATTTCGTAAAAAGAAAAAACAATAATAATTGCGTTTTTTTTTAAATATTTTTGGAGGCGGCACCAGCTATCTAAAGTTAGTTAACAAAGAGCAAGTAAAAAATATTTTCCTGAGTTATAAACAATCGTTGTCTTGCCAAAAACAATTGCGCACTTTTTCAACTTGACTTTTAAGCGAATTGACGTAAATTTTACTTAAATTACGTGTTTTACCAGTTTTTAGTATGTAGGTACATCGATAATTAATATTGTGTTTTCATAAGTGTCGAGTACGAAGTTCATTTTTATAGTAGACGTATGTAATATATTATAGGTCACCTTTAAGGTACAAGGCTTTTTACTTATCCTTGTGTCATACAACGTTTTTGTTTTTCATAGAGTTTTTCTTTTCATTCAATTTCACTTTTCCTGGGCTTCGTATTATTATTGAAATAGCCCATTTTCTCATAATTGAAAAAGGGTTTAGGTAATACGGCCCTCCATACCTCAAAATTTGTTACTCTCTCACGCAAAATATCCTTTTTGATAGAACTTTCATCAACAGAATACCCGAAGCTATTGTAAGAAGCTAGTTAAGGTATAACGCTCAATGAGGGCTATCGTTTTAGCGCTCACCAGTTGGCGCCACTGTAGAGTAAGGTCCTGTCACTTGCTAGTAGCGAAGACAGTGGCGCCAGCTGGTGAGCGCTAAAGTGGTAGGAGGACTATCGCATTTGCACTCATCAAGATGGCGCCACTGTAGAGTCCTGTCAATCGCCAGGGGTGCCAACTGTTAAGTATAAAAACGATAGCCCTCATTGAGTCAGTGCCTGAGTTATGTGAATGGCACAGGAGAGGTGACATTGACATTATGACGTAAAAGAGCATACAAATCTGTAGGATATCTGAGGTCTCGCTGACATTTGACTGTCAAAAACTCCCTCCCGTGCCGCTCCTATACCTCAGTAACTAAGGCTGAGTTGCACCATCTTACTTTTGACTTTAACAAACGTCAAAAATCTGTCAAACTCCATACAAAAACAAGTTACTGTTGATTCCGTGGAGGGTAGTTGAACGGGAAGCATGGTCGATCTGTTTTAATGGTTTCAATTTATTATTTAATGGACTTTAGTGTACAAATTTGGTGTTATTTTGTGTTCTAAAGTGCAGTGAAGTGATAAATTATAAAAAACATTGAAATACTTCGAGTTTGAGCGCGCATCGAGTGTCGAGTGGGTTGTCGTATGAACAACCCGCTTTGGACCCGGTGGCGTCTCGAAACCTGCTTACGGGCATACTTAACTCCACGGAATCCATGAAAAATCAATAGAACTGAAACACCCACGTTCTATTGATAACTTTGTCAATTATTTTTCACTCGACATTGGCAGAAATAAACCTCCCAGAGAGGTTTGGTTGCCATTAAAAAAAAAAAANGTCTATTATAATGAATGGTTTTGTCTGTTATTATTGTTCGGTCCCAGTAAATTTTCAAATCACTGTTCTCGAGTATGGTTGAGGGTGTATATTTGTAGTAAGGGGATTTTTTTGTTATCAGTTTATGTTTATGTGCTATATATTGGTGGATGATTGCTGCTACTTGATCATGTCGGTGCTTGTAGTCTGATTGGGCTAAAGATTTGCAGGCGCCGGTAATATGTTGTATGGTTTCCGGTGCGCTATTGCATTTTCGGCATATATCCGCCTGCAATTCTTTAGTGATGTGCTTGCGATAGTTACGCGTCGCTATCACCTGGTCCTGTATCGCGAGCATAAAAGCCTCTGTTTCGGGAAATAGCTCACCGCGCCTCAGCCATGCGTTCGATGCATCCTTATCGACGTGTGGTTGACTGAGGTCAGCTTTATGCCTTCCATGCAGCGACTTTTGAGCCCATTGCGAAACTTTGTCTTGATCAGGTGAGCATTTTTCATTTGGCTGAACGTTCTTGTCGTGTAAGTTTAATGGTTTCAATTTGTTGTCTATTAAAGTAAGGTTGCGATAAAGAGGAAGTGTGTTTGCTTTGTTGTGGAAAAACTTTCTTAACGTAGTTATCTGTCTATTATGTAAATTTTTGACGTCAATGAGTCCTCTGCCTCCCTCGTTTCTTGGTAGGACGGTCCTTTGAATGCATGACTTTGGGTGGTGTTTCCTGAATTTAGTCATGTGTGTATTTATGTTACGTTGAAGTGTATCTAGTTCTGTTTGTGTCCAAGAAATAATACCAAAGGAATATGTGAGTACCGGGATTGCGTATTATTAAATTTATTATTATTAATCACCGAAAAAAAAATTCTGGGTAATGGGTTATTGATACTGATCCCATTTGTGCAAAAAAAAGACTAAAATAAAGTGACTCAAAATATCCTCCTAAAATTGGTAATTTATTGACACACGCGTCACTAGCACTATTCAAGAACAATAATGTAACACTAATTAAAATTAAAAATGGTCTAAGTTAGCTAATTATGTAATAATAACACTGGAAGCGTGGTCGAGGCGTGAGCGAGACAGACAGATCGATGCAACGTGTGAGCGCGTACGACTACTCTAGCGAGCACCGGAGTGACCCAGCTGTGACGCGTAAAATACGGACTAACGAAAATTTTATAAAAATATTAACTTCATGAAAACCATTTCTTTTTCTTTTGCTTTCAATATTCCACACGTTTCTACATAACCTGTTAAAATTTTTTCGGTGATAAAAATTTAGTGGTGTATTTGCATTAAACTAACTTAGCTCTGATTCTAAAACCCGCACTATTTATAGACAAAATTCTAAGAAGTGTGTTAACTAATAACCCTTGTCACCCTCAGCCTAAACTAACCAAAAACCAGCCCCGAGATTATTGCCCCGGTCTCGGGTTTTCCCCGTATTTATAGTGTTAATTAAATGTA